TATTATGCCAAAATGATATATCTCATGCAGGTGTGAGGCTCCAATTTCGTGTCTTTCAGAACTGACTCTAGAAAAACCTATTGTTAGTTGCGTTCTTCAGAAACCTGTATCTCCACAGGTGAAGGTATGATAATTTTACTTCCCACATCACGAAAAACCATGTCCATCATTTAATTGGAAAAAATGTTCACACAAGCTTACTAATGTGCTAAGGACGACAAAGCTTGAAAGTTTTTAAATATTAGTCCTGCGGCGGTGGAGATACGGAGCAAAAAAAGTATACTCGTACAATAAAACAGAATTTGCTCAAGCTTTGACGTTCTTTGAGGCTCCTGATGATTTTCAGAAAAATATTTCTAGAGGTTCAAAATTATAGATTAAAGGTTTTAAGGGTCGGGAAGCTTATGTCTCAATTTCTTGATCATCCTCCTTGACAACATTTGTTTGTGGGAGCTTGTGACGTTATCATTTGTATTCTGTATGTATCCAGAGAATCACATCATACTCTGGGTTAGCTTATGCAATATATTACAAATGAATTCTTACAAATACTTTTATGACAATAGCAGATTACAATTTGAAAATTTCGAGCCTTGGCCATTCGATTGCTATCAGGCTGTTTGAGAATTTGAAGCCCTAGATCGTTAGAAAACCAGCATCGTACAGATGGCGACACATTGATAAATCCATTTGTTAATATAAGCGCGCAGAATGTATGTAGGTAGAAAGACGAGAGCGAGAAGTGGATCCAAGGAAGGCTCGTAAAATATGTGCGAGATGGCGACTAGATTACACGAGAGGTGAGGACAGGGTCGATGGGATGCTTCACAACAGCGCGCATACGAAAGCAGGCCATGGAGGAAGACCAATAAAGAGTTATTAATAGGGGCGAAATGATACATGCTCGTGACATTATTGAGGCGATCTTACGAGGAAATTATTTGTTTTAGTACCGTTAGTTAATTGTATTCCGAATCCCAAGTAGGAGTTGGTACCAACATGTACCAAGATGCGTCGGTTTGACAATAGGCAGATATCTGAGAACTACTAGAGATACATGTTACGTGTTCCTGTCACTAATGACACAACGTTTTAAGACGGACAGTATTTCCTCCTACTACAGCTAGTTGGTTGCCGAAAAGTTGGTACGACCAGTTTGCCGTCCCCCATGCGTTGAGCTCAGGAAAGAAAGTTTTCAAATTATGGTAGGTAAGCGTTTACAAACCGGTTCCAAGAGAAACAAGAATAAAAAACAAAAATGACACACTCATGCAGCAATATCGGTGTGGTCGATGTTGTTTTAATTTATGGTGAGTACTTTCGAAATGCTACCGAGGCTTCACGTGTGCATGCAGATCGCTTTTCAAGATCCTTCGTGATTTCCTTCATCGGAGCGAAATGAAATGTTTCGCGTACAAAATATAGTTGTCAAAGTACGGGCCTTCTCTAATTACTTTTGCTGCCATGGAAACCAACTAATAGATTCAGATCAAAAGAAACAGACTAGCCCTAACGCAATATTGGTATTTTTTAGATTCCAAATAATAATGGCTTAGAAATAATATAATGTTAGAGAAATACATTTTTGATTTAATTTTGATAACATGATTCAATACTTAGGGCTTTCACTCACCGGAACGCCATAGTCATCCATAACTAAGCTAACCTATTGAAATATAGATCTTATCGTCCTTCGCCGCTATTCGCCAAGTCGGGGAGCTGCCATATACAGGGTGTTTCAACCGTGCAATGAGGGTGTATTGCTCCTAAACCAAAACTTCCCACAGACAACTAATGATCAGTTATTATATATGGTTTCTGAGAGCATATTCTTATAATATTCACAAATATTCAGGATGCTCCAATTTTGTTCTACGTATCAAAGTTGCCTCCGTTTTTTAAGAAAAGCCTTAATTTTTACGTATCGCATGCTTATGGATTCTGACTATTAGTCGTAGAGGAATTAGATATTTCATATGAAGGCGTTAAGTAGGTTGACTCTGTATTTCCCAATCAAAGCTGTAATCATACAGGTACAAGTTAGACCCTCGTATGAAAAAGGTAATTAAGAAAATCCATTTTATTATTATTATGGTTAAATGAATCCCGTAAATCAAATCAAATAGGCTCATATACAGTTAGTTTCCAGTCACCAACCATTTGGAAATATTCCGATTCAATCTCACAGTTGCTGTGGGTGTAATATGTGGCAATAAACACCTGATTCTCAGGCTCTTTTTTATTGGCTCAATAAGAAACTGTAACGGCATACAGAACTTCGTCAAGTATGGCCAAGCGCATGATTCAATGTTTGCGTTACGGCAACGGTACGGCAGTGGTGCGGATCGTCGGAGTTTATGAATATACAAGGTCTACCATTTAAACTTTTAAGAAAAATTACGTTTTGTGTTGACCATCATGTTTTGAAAATCAAAAAATTCAAACAAAGGATGAATTAGGTCAAAATTGTTTAAAAATATTTTTTTTACACAAAATCCACTACTCCGTCTTTCAAGGTAGCAGTCAATCTTTGGTGTTTTTTATATAAAATACCTAATAGCTCAGCAACTAATATTTAAAACTCATGAGTACGCGTTATCAATACTCTTCTATTATAGAAACCTATCCGAATATATAAAAAAGTACTAACACTACTATTTGACAGAAATAAACATTGATATGTGGATCAAAATTGGGACACCCTGTGTAATTGTGAATATAGTTGATTGGATAGTCTTCTTTGAAATGTTTTTCTCCAAAAGCAATGCTCCGCCCTCGCACACCTCGGACACCATGTATTTCAATAGTATTGCAACGATTTAAACAAGCGCATTGTTTTCTACGGGTGGGTCATCCGTTGGTTTCTTTTTTAAATTGGTATTAAAACTATACTCTTCAATAATATGTAACACTCGATACCTTATTCAACAGAATACACCTTCCGATTATTTATGAGAAACAATTTCACTTAAATGGCTTCCGCGGCTGGCCTGGCAGTAGTCCATACTCTTAACGCAATTTTGAAGCACATTTTCGATAGTTTGTGGGTCTATTTCATCAATAGGATATTTTCCTCACGAACATCAATTATTTGAGGATCGTTAGTGTAACAGCGGTCCTTAACAGTACCCCATAGGAAGTAATTCATGGGCGTCAAATCACAGCTTCGGGCTGGCCAATGAACGTCTCCAAAAAGGCTGATAACGCGATGACCGAACTTAATGTGTAAAAGATCGATTATTTCACGGCTGGTGTGGCATGCTGCGCTTTCCTGCGGAACCCAGAGATTGTGCAAGTGCATGTCGTCTAACAGTGGCCACAAAAAACTCCTCAACATGTCCCTATAGCGTTCCCCGTTTACCGGCACGCTGCTACCATCTTCATCTTGAAAAAAGTAGGGACCAATAATCCCACCTCTCCAAAAGCCACACCAAACAGTTACTCTTATAATACAAATAATACAGTTCTGCTTGTTAACGTAACCTCCCAGATCAAAATGGGCTTCGTCCGAAAAGATGATTTGACGACCAAAATTGACGTCCGTTTCCAATTGATTTAGAGCCCACATAGAGAAACGATATCGTTGCACCTTGTAAGGAAATAATCTCATGTCGTTATGCAATATTCTCCACACAGAAGTGCGACTGATGCCCACTTGTTGTGCTCTGTAACAAGTTGAGATTCTTGCGTTTTCACGCACACTCTGGGCAACAGCAGCAATGTTTTCGGCTGTACGCACGGATCGAACACGCTCATACCTTCTGTTATCCACAAGCAGGACAGTTCCATGAACCTTCTTCACGAATTTTCGTATACCAGTCGCGGACGGAGCTTCACTCCGACCAAATTAACAGTCTTCTCAATTTTCGCAAAGTTTCTGCAACACAGCACTCACTTTGACACAAGTTTGACACGATATATATGTCAATGTGTTGAACATGTTAGTCTAACCAACTGTCAAAATAATGCGTACTCAAAAAACCAACTGATGGCCCACCCTTTATGAACACAGTCATATGAGGCCCCATAGGTACTTATTTTGTCAAAAATAATTATTGAGTTATACAGTTTCCGTAAAAGCTACTTAAGGAAAACCGATTTTCAGTAGTGTCTCTTTGGGGTACGCATTTCCATCAAGATAATTCCGTAGATATTCTTAGACTAAATTTGCGCATTATTTTTGGATTCTATATGTGTTTATTCTGGGACATTCTGTGCAAATTGGCGCATTTTGAAAAAATATGTTGTGAAATAAACTTTCGTTCATTCTGCTTTTGTAGCTGTCATTTCAAAATATTTCAGACATATGAGTTTAAAACTTAATAATTATATACTTGCTAACCAATAGGTTGATGTTTCATTTTTATTTTTTTTGGAAACTGGAAACTTCAACGTACGGTAATTACAGAGTCCGTTACATAGCTACCAAAAACAAAGCGTTGCTATGCAACCTGTTTCTGATAGACCAAGAATATTATGTAATACCGGATAACGTTTCATTTTCCAAGTGTGAAAGAGGCGCAATCATAGAGCCTTCAAACATCTGGCAGCAACGAGTCTCAGACGAAACAAATTATTATTGGATATTTCTAATCTCTGCGTATGTCGGATGAGTTTTCTTATAATGGTCCTAAGTAGCCAAATGTAGTCAAATGATTTAGTTCATGCACCCAATGGAACATTTTTTGTAGCCGACAATTCATCGCGTTATTGCAAATATACGCCTAAAGTGCTTCACAAAGTGTTTAAAGGTTGCTTCTCCAGAAAGATCAGCGATGGCATATTCTTGGTTTTCTACTACAATTATAGATTATATACTGATGTCCTTCATTTCACTTTAAAGTAGCAGTCCCTTAAAAACAACCATTATGATTGAAACAACTATAATTTTACTGGTCTAACAGTCGACACGCATCGATTTTTTCAAGACACGTGCGCTGCCAGCTAGAGCTCTACCAGACCATAACGATTTCACCAGTATACTATATTGATTATTTCCTACTTGCTTACGTATCGTCGCTCCTAACATCATGACACACATATCTCTGTCAAAATATATACAAATGTACTAACGATTTTGAAGCGACAAATCTTTTATGTCTACTAAAAAGGTAAGTGTACCAATCTATGGTTATTGCTTTTTATAATGAAGATTTGAAATTTCAGGATGGCATTAAAGTATCCAAGACGCAAACAATCAAACAGAGCTCATCCAGACTGGTTACTAAAGTTAGAGAAGATAGCGCAGATCGAAAGCATGTTAAGAAGGTGGAAGACCAGATTAAAAAATTGAAGCCACCAACAACTTTGCTCAAACAAAAGAGTGTAGATGCTAACCGGCCTCAACCAACGAAGTCTAATTTTAAGCTGAAAAGTGCAAGTGGGACATCCAGTGAGGAACCAAGTTGAAAGTAAAACGTAGTGTAGCGGGAGTGTCAAAAACTAGATTTTTTCCAATAGTAAAGCTATGATCTCGAACGCGCTGAAGGATGGTGATAAAGAGGTTGCAAAAATAAGTGGCTCAAAAGTGAGTGGTAAAGTGGACACCGAGATGGCGAAAGTAAAAAGCTCAAGCAGAAAGAATCAAATTCAGTTTCTAACAAGAGCATCTCAAAGATCAGTAAGTCTGGAAGTAATAGTCATACTTCGAACAAAAGAGACGCAAACGAACTAAAAGGAAAGACAAGTAGCACTGCGACAAGATCAAAAGTTAACAGCACACCTGTTCCCAAACAGAAACAGTCTGATTCAGATTGTAGCTCAATTTCAAGCAGATATGAGATGAAAAGTATAGCAAAAGTGAAATCGACATCTAAAGACACTTCAAGACAAACATATTTAGATTCAAATAGCGATATAATGTCAGAACGACCAGGTACTGCAACTTTGAGGAAAGGTAGGCTAGTCAACACAAACATAGTTGGACCAGAGGGTTCCTGAGGAATAGTACCAAAGTTAGTGAAAGAAACATTCAATGCTGCTTAAACCATTTGAGTTTAGAAGTGAGTCTAAGTCTAAAGGAAAGTCAGTATCCAGGAAAGAAACCAAAGGCTCTAAAACTAAACCAAATGCCAACGAAAAGAGTCCAAACTCTAGTGCCGGTTCAAGACATAGCTTAAGAAATGCCAATTTAGAAATTCCATCAACTTCTAAAACAAACTAAAAGACAAACCAAGTGATACCGAAAATGAACAAATCGTCACACCAATGAACTCTGAAGGTAGTCATAAATCAGACTCCTCAAATGAGCGTGATTACGAAGACGATTTTAATTCCTACGAGTCCGATTTTGAGAAGTACTCTTCCTCTAGCAGTTCTCTCCACGTGCCTGATATATCGGGTGAAGATACTAGTAGTATAAGTAGCAGTGAAGGTAACTCTCCCCTGGAGCTCACATCTGCTACTAAGAGATTGAGCTCTGCAGGTACTGATGAAGACAAACAAATGGATTCAGGGCACTATGATATGCCAGATTATAAACATAAGCAAATCCTGGATAACATCAAAGAGTTGGTGGAGAAAGAGAACGCTAATTTGGATGTTCAGAAAAATAATACAGCTTCGCTCTCTGATGAAGGGTTTGAAGATCAGAGGTCTCTCCAATTTATCAACTTCTTGGATGCTCAAAAGAAAACTATACGAAGACGAAGCATGGAGATAAGGAAAAAGCGAGGAGAAGAGATTTTAAGTATGATCAAGTTAGATACCTTCAGTTATACCCTTTTTGATTTGACTCCAGTGCCTTACGAAGTGTTCATAAAGAACTATGGGAGGACTAATACAGTGCAGAGTGCAACTCAAACTGGTGATGATGATATTGATGAGGAAATACAAACTGATAATATTAGTGTTGATATGAAATGGACGCAAATTCCTGTTTGCTTCTCTAAGCTAAGTCTAGACGAGCCCAGCTTTTGGAGAACATACAAAAACGAATACCTAGGAGTAGGTAGCGAATATACTGTTGAGCCAAATATAGTGAAGAAGCCATGTAACGAGCATTATCTGAATAAGTTCCTGCTCTCTGCTGGAACTTTGATCACCAAAATATTGGAAGAACGAGACTCTGAGAATATTAGTAGTCTAAAGAAGAACTCGCGAGATTTGCCTTTCAGTGATGGGTATATTGCATTTAACACAACCAAGAGCGCTCTTAGAGGATCTAGCGTGGACTATATTTCTTTCGGCTGTGATAATAATAAGTTTTTGCGACTGTACATACTCAAAAGGATAAGCACATGTATGTTATAGCTATTTGGAGAGCATATTCTGAGGAACCTAAGTTAGTTCTAGAATCCTATAGTGCAATATCATCGTGCTTAGTTGACCTTAGCTCCTGTTTTGTATATGGTGGACTTTACGATGGGTAAGCGATTTCACTATTCTCAATCATAGGAAATGGATCATAGTAAACATATAGTATAACTCATAAAAATGAAACAAAATGTCAATTTTAGGCAACTACACTAGGAATATGTAATCATGGCCATAGTTGTAAGATATAATCCCTTAAAGCTGTCTAGCTATTGGATAATTTGGCACTAAAGTTTAAGCAATAATCGTAGTATGACTATATAGTGCTTTGCAAAAGGACCCTTCACCAACAATTTTTTGAGTGGGGCAAAAATTCGGGGGTAATCAAATTTATATGTGCATACTATAGTTTAGGGGAAACGTGACAGTTGAAAATTTCGAGACGGCGCGGCGGGTAGGCGAACAGGGGTCATGTGATATCTCATTTTTAAAGCTCTTTGTGAGTATTTTATAGCCCTTGAATATAAAATGGCAAGCTGGCAGTCGATCACAGTTGAGAGTCTTTGCACATTGAGTCACTTATAACTCAACAGTCAATCATCAGAGCGCTCTAGTATCTTACATCGACCTTCTTCTCTTGGAAAGGTCTATTCGAATATATAACAAAATATGAAACCTATTCATAAAAAATGTCAAAATCCGTCAATTTTTTTTAACCTGAATGTCTCACATTTTATTGCACATTCAGATAGACCGTTCCAAAAGAGAAATATTGACTTAACATGCTATAACATTTTGTTGATTAGTTTTTGAGTCATAAGCGAATCGATATACAAAAACGTTCAACTTCCACAGCTTCTCTGTCCATCATTTTGCGAGATAGTAATTAATATGCTGAGGCCTGTGCTTTTAAAATAAGGTCCCTCATTACAATTTGAATAATGTTTCAAAATATCGCCCATCTTGAAATGCTCAACTACGATTGTTACGTTAAAATATAGTATTTACGCGTAAATTTCGTTATTATAAATTTAAGTTTGCTAACGTGACCCGTTCAAAGAATAAGTCTGGACGATCTTTCTGAATAGCTCTGAATTTACACTAAGTACTACTCTTCTGCTTCTGTCAATGGATTCCTCTGGGAAGCAGGGTATTCTTTCTCTAGTAGAGATCTTTTGATCATTTTGAAAGGTAGCTAATATAATTTTCGGAATTTCAGTGCAATTTTGATATGGAATACAAGCCCAACCTCAAGAGATGTACCAAGCCATATTCCTGTTTATGTTACAAGTGTTGGATTTGGTCACCACACAAAAATAGTTGCCATACAACAGTTATCTGATTCACCTGCTGGTAAAACGTTCTTATCTGCCAATTCATCATCAAAAGAGGTAACTTGAGCTTCTGTGCTATCATGATACCTACGAAGATAGGAACATGTTTACAAGCTTACGTGATTTTTCGCATAGTTTATCCATCACAAGCCGTTTTATTCATTTTAGATCTGTTCACTAGATGAAGATGGAGATATAATACTATGGAGGGTCGTAGTGAAGCAAAGTACGTATAGTTCCAAGTCACCTGGAGCAGATTGCAAAGAAGTTGTGCTGGTGAAAAGTACACACGTATTATTAAGAAGCATGTATCCAGACATATCAGATCTCGTCTGTACTGACTTCGTCTTGGACACATCGAACAACAACTATGCTTTTATTTCGACTAATTATGGTTTTATCATACATTATTTCATAAAAGGTGGAGGAAATTCCGTAAGGACATTTCAGCCTGGTAAGTCTCGCCATCAATGCTAAAATTTGAACAATAGTGATAATAAATCTTAAGATTATATATCAAAAGACTCAATTTCTGTAATTTGTTGTTGTTTGCTAGACAAATTAATAACCTGAAACTAGTACCGTTGATTTTATGCTAATAATCTGACTGTTAATTAAAGCCACATTCATGTTTGAACTACAGTAAAAAGTAATTCAATTACAGTCAGTAAAAAGTCCTTCAAGTGGATCGTTTCATATGTTCGAGAGTTTTTGCGTCGGAAAATTATGGAGCAAAATATATCTAACATTAAAACAGGGAATAGTATTTAGCTTTTTTCGCTCATTTTCGAGAATATTGTTTCAAAATTTCAAATTGATCGGAGCATAATTGATGAGGCTATTGGTATTTCGTTGCACCAAACTGATTTTCTGGTACCAGCCGAGCACAGCAACACGTATTTAGATGCCATCAGATGTTCTGTGGGAGCCGTGCTTGTGGTTTCCTCTCTGCCTCTCTCCAATCTATTCGCCTGTCGGTCATCTCTTGGTGGAACTACTCTTTGGCTATAGTAGATCAGTTTAAAAGTGTGAAACTTTAAAGCGATTTTCTGAGACTTGTAGTTTTTTAATTTGGTGTGCTCAGCTCAAAATCAAATGCACTTATTTCTTTGAAACTGGTTTAGCTCTAAATCAGCAGATAATCACTTTTTTTTCTTTTTCCAATATTTTTGTTCTTTGACAATGAAATATTTGTCGATGTTTTACCAAAATCATGTTTTTAACTTCCGGGAGCTAAAAAAATTGTCACAATTGAAAAACAAATAAAAACTTGTGGTTACCACAAGAGACCTCTTGCCTGATAAACCAATTTTGATTGTTTTGATCCCGATCGATAGGGGTTATTACGTAAAAAAACCATATAACGTCAAAAAGAAAACCGACAAGATGTCAACTGTTGACTAAGTAGGCTAGTGTGCAAATAGTTCAGTCCGCGCTTGCTACAGGTGAGAACGATGTGATCGACAGTTAGTCACAAGCTGACGTCTTGTAGGAAAACCTACATAATGCCATAAAAACCCTACATAATGTCAAAAAATGGTTCTTAGTTGAGTAAACTACGATTACTTATATCGAAAAAAACAATTTTGAAAATACGCCTTTCCTTCACGGAATTCACTTACCCCCTAACCCCCAAACCGATTTCTATTAAAAAGGACCGCCTTAGTGATCTAAAAAGCAATCCTTCATTAGGACTTATTAGCAATCTTTGACTGGGTTACCACCCATATCCCCTAAACAGCGTAACCGATTTCCATTAAGCATAGCTAAGAACCATCTCGGAAGAGAAGACTTTCGAATTGAAAACTGCACTCAAATCGGTTCGGGTGCTACAGTGCGTCGAAGTTAAGAAACCTATATCCTATATATCTGTTACATTTTTTAAGACAAAAAAAGGATTCAATGGACCCAGTTAGTCAAACAGGCTCATACAATCAAAATTTGCGTATCTAGCATGCTTTTCTGAACTATTTTGGAGTTCCTTAGGATTTAGCTCCCTGAGAAGATATGCTACCCCTCGTTTCTCAAAAAGTTTTGGATAGCGCTTCCCCTTCCTCTGAGGAAAATTCCAGTGGGCGCACATGATCGAAACTATGTGTACATCCTGCGAGGATGATCAACACGCGAGGGTCCTCCTGCATTCTAAGTCTAAAGGATCAATTTACGGGGAAATACATAATGAGTGAAATATATCTAATGAGCCGTATTCATAAAACAAAGGATATCCTTGTACTTGCAAATTTTGAAGGAAATCCTCCAGATGGTATTTATAATAATTTGACGTAAATGCTTTTGCTTTTTGAGTATAAGCATATCCTTCAAAGCAGTGACATAAGTAAGACGATATTCTTAATCTTCACCTTATACTTGGCAAAGGAAGCATATCCTTCAAAAATTCTGAGTGTGGTCAGTAGCAGAGTCAACTTCGTAATGAAAGGTGGTCAAACGATTGATGGCGGAAATTGTGGATGTTAGGGATTGTTAAAACATACAAACCTCGTTTACCTTCTCTTGGTCGTGAATTATATCGGCTCGACAAAGCAAATGTACAATGCTTGCGGACAGATTTTTAGATGAGAATGAGGAAAACTCGAGGAGCAGCACTTTCATGTATTCATAAAATGAAGATATGTCTCCGCTATCTCGGTTGACCCTGGATATCAACAAGGTCAGGACTCTTGGTGTTAGTCAAGCAACGGTATCTGGGACTGTGGACAGAGTTGTGAACAGCATAGTTGCACAGTCGAATGAATGGATCAAGTTTCCAACTACCAACCGTGAACTGATGGAGGCCAAGCGATATGGCAAAGCATGTATAAATTTCCGACAGCAATGGTGTAATTGATTGTACACATATAGGATTCCTAAAACCAAATCGCCATGAAGATGAGTATATCAACCGAAAAGGGAAACCTACGTTAAATGTGCAAGCCACTTGTGATGCCAGAGAGATGGTCACAAGTGTTGATGTCAGTTGGCCTGCATCAGTGCATGATTCCAGAATATGGAGAAATTCACAGACTAGATGACAACTAATAAATAAAGCAAATGTTGTACTACTTGTCGATGACGGTCATGGTATTGAGCCATGCCTTATGACTCCCTTCACAAATCCTACTCCAGGTGCAGAAATAAATTATAATAGGCTTTCAAAACAAGAAAGAGTTATAATTGAACGCTGTTTCGGCCTACTGAAATGCCGGTTTTCTATCCTACAGTATGTTTGCTGCGTAAAGTTGGGAAATGTGCCGAAAATAATTATTGCTTGTATTGTACTCCATAATATTGCGAACCAGCTTGGGCGATTCTGACTTTGAGTTAGTTGAACAAAACCCAGATGAAGATGAAGGAAATCATGAGAATCACGAACTTCCTCTCCGCCAAATAGGTCAACAAATAAGAAGAAACTTGAGTATTATAATAAATAGGTTTACTGCATTTATAAGTCTAATAATATGTTCTATTTTCGTGAACATCATAAGGTACAGGTGGCTTCTGATGCTGCATTATTTTAATTTCGTTTTATCATACTCTTGTTGTAAAATACTTGTTTGGTACTGCTGTAATAGCACTAGACGTTGCAGTTCTTTGGTTTCCTCAGTTTGGTATTTCTCTGTTGCTAATTTTCTTTTTGGTGGCAATATCTTCTGAATTGCTGGCGCAGTAATACTAACTGTTTGCTCACTGCGGCCCGGTATATAGTTCACTTCCGTCTTCTCGAACACTGCCAACCTGAATGGCACCTAAAATTTTCCCAATTGTAGGATTACAGTCACCTTCCATAGCCTTCAGCAACTTCCTTTCCCAATCTAACAATTAAATTGCTTTATTAGCAGTTTTTTTTATCTGTTTTTTTATTTAATCTTGATTTCATGTTGTTGATTTTGTTTAATAAGCTTTTAGTATCTAATGGTTTACCGAATGTGTATTTTTCCAACATCTTCTTTAACGCACCGTCCACTCTCATTTTTATTTTTGGAACTTGTGACTCTTGCAAAATAATGGGAGGAATGGCAATTTCATTTGCGATGAACTGCAGTCCAGTGATGCTTAGTGAACGAACTCCCACTTCAACTACAAACTGGAACAAGTAAGGACATGTCGCTCAAGATACAAATACCGGTCAACCTGTTACTTCTTCTTGGAGGATATCTTCGCGAGTATAAGGTAATCATTATGAATATGAAAACCAAGATATGCTTATACTTCCACCTTTTTCTCCGAAGCAAGACCTTATACTTTTACCTTATGCTTCCGAAGATATGCTTCTCTTTCATGAAAACGGCTCATTAGGTGTGAAGATTACCGTAGCTGGATAAGTACATCAAGGTCAAACAATTTAAATGTGCTCTAAAAAACGGAATAAATCATATTCGAAACCTTTCGCGATTACAGTACTTCCTCGCCAGTAGTGTCTTTGTAATTGGAGTACTCTTGAATCTTGCAACTGCAAAAGTTGTTTTTTTTTCAAAAATGATAGCTCACTTCGCCAAAAGCAGAAAATATCACCTTTTTTATCTGGTAGTCCAGTTTTTTGCAATGCCGTTTTTGTACTGTACGAGTCAAATATTCTGAAAATGTCATCCGCTTGACTTTGAATTCACAAAATCTTTGAGATATACACTAGGGTGTGTCAAAATATATAGAGAAAAAAGCGTTATTTGCATGTAACAGTAGCCAGCAGTTGTGTTTTGATAATTAGTTGTTTACATTGACTAGCGTATCAATGGTTATAGACAAACCAATGTATAAACACGCTGAACTTTGGCATCCTGCCTGTCCGCCATTTATAAATATAGTGATCTTACGGTTAAGGGTTACAAAGAACTCAAAACGAGCTTCAAATTGAGGTATCACACCCCCCATTCTATTCAGAAGAATATTGCAAGACAACCGTCAACCGCCAGCTTGAGATTTTTATCTATTACTTCAAGTTAAAACATAGCATTTCACCACTATATATCTTTCTAATTTCAGGAAATGATTCAACAGCGAATTGCCTTGAGGTCTGCCCATTCTCCTCCGACTTTCTGCTAGCAGGTTTACAGATGGCAACATCAATCTGTATTCAAAAACTAATAGGCAAGCCTCTGATGGTTCTATCAGATAAGGAAAGTAGTGTGAACGACAATAGTATTCAATTAATCCAATGGTCCAAAACCAGACCTTTGTGATCTACGTGAAAGACTCTGCCAACAACATTCACATATGGGATTTGAATGAAAGTGATATTTTCCCAATCTATTCAGTTCCTTTCCAGAAGAATATCACTTGTCTGAAGCTGTGTCCTTCCGTTGAGGGAAGTGAGAACAGCAATGCTTTTCTGGTGAGTTGAAAATATGGAATGGTATGATTAATTTACTAAACACACTTTTCGTCGCAGCTTGCTACTTTATTACGTTAAACTAATAGAAAATTGTAGGACACCTCATGAAAAACGAAGTAAACGAAACCGTAAAAAAAATTTGGTGTCGGAAATGGATCAGGGAGAGAGACCGGGGAACGAATGGGCTCCTGATGCTGAATAAAGAACCTCTAGTGGAGGATCCACTGGCTCATAGGCCTAATTTGTTTATAGTCATTCTGATTTTATCCAACGGAGCTTATTTGGCGTTACTGTTTCTATAAGCCTAACTTTTTACAGCGTATAAAACAATCATATATCTCATACTCGTTTAGTAGTATGCCACACTGCTCTTTTGACCATGACATCTTTCAAGTTTTTAATCTTTAAGTAGAACAGCATACAGCATAAGCAGGGGAATTTCGCGAACACAACTGATCACAACAATGGATGAAACTGCTAGGGTTAGGCTTGTTTTGTCAACCAGTTATCATCCCATTTAATCGTCACAAAACATCAAGAGAATATGAAGGAGTTGGCACAAAACGTATAATTCCTTGTCACGTAGCGCTTCTATTAGCATTGTACTACTCCAAGTGCGCAGAGTAGGCGTCTGCTCACTTTTAGCATGCTATTATTTAGAACAGGTTCTAAAATATTTAGCACTCAATTTTTTTATACAAAATTATGTACTAAATGCTGTCTGGCCTTAAGAGTATAGTCTTACTGGCTTGTGGTGTTCAGACTTATCAAACCAGACCTCATAACAATTAAACTTCTCTCGTAATTCTCTCTACATCATATCAGTTCTCAGACTTCTTACATACTTATTTGTTATAGAGTAACGAGACGTTTTCCTGGCGTAAACTTGCAATGTAGCATCTTCAACTTGAACAATGTTGCGTTTTTAATAACCAACATACGTAGATTAATGTTGACATACATTTTGTAAGAGTGACTCAGTGTATCGTAGTTCTTCACACGTGTGCTGAAAAAAACTCATACAAAACTCACTCAAATCTTCGATATTCCTGGCCACTTTTATATCAGATACCATAAGTAACTATTGATGTAATGTATAAATCTACTAAAGCTGACAAAATTATTAGTACACAGTTTAAGGAGCCTAATTTTTTTTATTGTGTACGATATTCTTCTCTCGAAGCTACCATTTCACTCTTTCGAGTAGTATTTCGCTGCTTTTGGAATCTTACCCGTCAAACAAAAATTCTTGGAATGCAATGGCCGCAAATTCTCAATCGGCCCAGCTTTGCATAGTGTTCAACAAGGATCCGTCCTCGGCCCATTGTTATTCTTATTATACCTGTATATATAAATGATAAGCTAATTTATGTCGACGACACAACTCTTGTTTCGACTCACAATTGAATGATGCGGCTTATGCTTGTAAGTCCGACGTTCTGGATTGGTTTGCAAGCTATGAGTTTACAGTGAATTTAGACAAAAGTCAATCCATAACCATCGCTTTGAGGAATAATGGTGTTGACAATAACCATGTGGAGAACTATTTAATTCGTTATCTCAGAAATTCTGTAAACCCAAAAAGTTTTGCCATTTTCATGGTAAAATGACGTAAAATATCCTAGCATGGGGTCATTCGCTACATATGAGTAGAGTTTTTGCTTTGCAGATGAGGTGTGTTAGGTACATGGCAAACTTTAGGTACAAAGGTCCCTGTAGCGAAGAATTCATAAGACTAAGGATCATAACATTGCCTTGTGCTTTCACTTATTACTGCCTCACTCATGCGAAATCAAAATCTATCACTTATGCAGCACACTATCCATTCATAAAATACTCGAAATATTTCAAACTAATTTAATTTATTACATGAAATATCACAGAATCACTAAAACCAGAAATGGCGTTAAGTTTCCTGGCATGAAACTTTTCAATGAATTCCCTTATCACTTAGGAGCTCTAGATATTGATGATATGATTTTAGGGAGTTTACAAAGAATTTCCTTTTATCGAGAGTTTTCTATTACATCCACGATTGTATCTCTTATGTTGACAAAGCTTTCCCATTTTTTCATTTTTCACCCTCCCTGTCACCGCCTTTGTTTGTCTTATTCATTATGACGTATGGTTTGTTATTTATTATCTGTTTGTATATGTACAAATATATATTTATTTTATTTTACCCTGTGCAAGCATATCTTGTTCATTCACCCCGATGAGCTATTATCATTATAATTATTATTTTATATTAATTTTTTTCTGTCAATGTTATTTTTCGTACATCTGGCGGAAATCTTCATGGCAGAAGGAGGATCACATGCTTAGGAAAGGGGTGGAAAAAACGTATTAGGAAGGGTTCTTAGCAGAACGCGATGACACTCGGAAGATACTTTTATGATCGATATTCCGACAAAAAAGAAATTTTGGAAAAAAATAGTTCGAAAATATTATTGAATCACATTTTTTATACAGGTACTAGCAACAGATGACGGCTCACTCTACATGCACCATTTGAATACAGATCATGGCCAACAACCTAAATCTACATATGAAGAACACGTGAAAACATTTTTGAATTACGTCAGCAGATTGTAGCATTTTTTACAAATATAACTTTTGGACACTGATATCTTGTTAGAATCTTACTACTTTTTGAGATTTTCTGACTGCATTAATAAATACATATGTTTTTACTACTGCGTCATTAATTCTCAGAATAGTGATAGCGCCCACAACATCTATAAATGGTGTCTCTTAAACAACTAGCAAAGATTCAGAGTATGGTTTCTTCTTCGCTGAAGATCTGTAAAATACGTCTTCGTTTCAGAGATACAGGCCTCCAAGTGTCACATTAATATAGATTTTCTTTAAAGGCTGAGTACCGTTTGATGTTGATATTGCCTTTGATTTTTAACAAACAATAATGCTTAATTGCGGAACGTTTAAGACAACGCATTTGCACTTCA